TTTCATTAAAGAAATTAAGCTCACATTCTTTAAGAAATGAAATATTGAGAAATTCAAGCACATGGCCTTTTATTGTCTAGTGCTAATGGTCCCAGGAAATGGAAGTTACTCAAATCAAAACAATTATTAAAATGAATGGAGAAGTATAAACAAAATCCCAATTAGTAAATTTTATAATTATTATCCCTTTCTGCTTACAATCTTTGGCTTTATTATATTTTTTGGAGTTTAGCCACTGTTATAAAAGAAGCCTGTCTAGTTAGGCACAACAGAAAAACTGACCCATTAGCCTGGTCCAACACTGAAATGAGGTTGGTGCTAATGAGAAACTTAATGTACCTAGTTCCTCATTTTCATCCCCTTTTTGTACTTTCATGGACCCTGTTGGAGAAGGGAGTGCTTACGTGTATAAAGAGGAAGAAAACCTGGTGGACTAGTATTCAGAAGTATTGAGGTCCCATCTGAGCTCCATCCTGTGTTTCATAGTTAACACTCATTGGAAAGTTATTTTACTTTGATGAGTTTAGCCCCCTATCACATGGGACTTTAATATGTATCTTGCTGGCTTTTCCAACAAAAGATAGGTTTGAAACTGCTTAGCAAAGTTTAGAATGCTATATATTTGTAAGCTATCAATGTAATATGAAATTCAGAAAAAAAAATCATTGGGACAACTGACTACATGAAGGTCTAGTGATATTTACAAATTTGTATTTGATTTTATTTACTAGTTCACTTAGCAAAATTCTTTCATAGTTCAAGATTCACATGTGTTACTGTTCTTCAATAAGTCATAAAATAATTGATTTAGTGTAGGAAAAACAGTTTTCATAAATAAAAGGTAAATGGAATTGTAAAAAAAATTAAGCAACTCAGTTAAGACATACAATCTCAATTATAGTAATTTTGCTGCAAAAGTAGAAGACTATGCTTTCTGTGCATTTCAGATGATAAAAAGTATCTGCACTTCTGCTCAGATGATTGCTTGGGTTCTTTACAACCCTTTGCCTATTTTTATTTTTCCTTTATGTCATGTATCTGAATTTGTTTAAATGCCATCTGTATCCAATAACCATGCCTGTGATCATGATGCAAAGTAAAGAATATTGTTAGTGATCTGGAAAAGTCAGGCTGGAGAAATCTAGTTTGGATTTATAAATCTAGTCTGAATATAAAATGTATACAATTTCCAGATGGCACTAAGTTTTAAAGTATAGTGATTATAAACAATAAAACCTGAGTTTTGAGGAAGTATTTTTATCCAGTTCAATTAGTTGGAATTAGAAATTGAAGTGGTGTTGTTTCTTCCCTCACTTCAAATGAATCTCAGAACTGTTCTGTTTGGCTTAGTGCATTTCTTAATTATAGATATTCAGCTCAAACACCAAAGCTGCTCACATTGGATTTGCTGTAAACTGTATTCAGTTGCTTTTCATTAAGGTGAGAGGCTTTTGCGTCACCCGCGTTTCCAATCATCTCCCTTTGTTTCCTCAGCTTCAGTCCAGCTGCCGTGGCAAAGATCCATTTCACATAATAAAGTGCCCTATTACATCAAGTAAGTTGATTTTAATTCTCCTTTATGATATCAAGACAATAAAGTTTTATTGATAACATAAGAGGTGCCCCCTATAACTTTGAAAAACGGAATTCAGTTCTGTTATCTGAAGATAACTAATAATATATTTAATATTTGAAGGAAATAAGTTTAAAAATCAGGGTGATTTTTGTCCTTGATTAGGTTTTCTTTGTCTTCAGGAAATTTCATCTGCACTAGTTGAAGCTCATCATTTTTTGTTGTCAACATAGCTTCTCCTTTCTTTGTATCATTTCTCCTTCTTATGTGATATTTTATAAATTCTGTATAATTTACTCAGCATCTTAGTAGACTTGGTCCTTGGCTTAATCTGTATAGTGTATAAGACAGAACAATGCAATACTACTTCTGTAATCCCTTGAAGTGCAAGTTGGTCAAGCAATTAACTTACAGTGTAATACAGAGAGGTGTCATAGCTGACCTTATTTTGTGTGTAATGAAAACTGCATCATAATTGTGAGAATGCACTTTATCAGGAGGCAGTTGTGTCTCAGATTACATGTGTGACTTTAGGCAAGTTGGGAAAAATCTCTGTGCCAGGTTTCCTCTGCATCATTTCTAAAACAGGATGCAGTATCCCCAAAATCCATGCCAATGCTAGTGATGTACATTTCTGGAATTACTCTTCCTGAAAAAATTTGTGTGTAAAGTCAATCTTAGTGAAATGGTATTTGATAATGAGTCTTTTCTTGTAGTGTGAAATATGTTGTCAGTTTTTTTTTTTTWAAAAGAACTGTGGCCATAACATTTAACAAATATAGTAAGCAATGTATGTTACATTATCTTGTGACATTTTAATATTTTTATTCAAGCACAATATAAGTATATTGAGCTGTAATGATTTTGAGAACAAAGGTATCAAACCAGTTGATGGGTGTCCAAGTTGTATAAGCATGAATGGAAAGAAGTTAGAGGCTGGGCAAATTGGCATATCTTTATTGAGAGCAGATATGATAATCTAATTCAAATTAAAAACTTTAAAAAATTTACATTTGTTTTCCAAATGATGATGATGATAGTATTAGAGAACGATAATTTACTCAGGCAATTATTGACTTGAACTGAATGATACAGGCTTACATATATATCTGAGGCCAGCTCAGTGATGCCTACCTATAATCCCTGCAATTTGGGATGCTGAGGCAGGAAGAGGAAGAGTGCAAGTTCAAGGCCAGCCTCAGCCATTTAGTGAGGCCATAAACAACTCGGTGAGACCCTGTCTAAGTAAACAATAAAAATAAAACCCAGAGATATAGCTCAGTGTCCCTGGGTTCAATCCCCTATACCTCCACCCCCCAAAAAAGATATAAATCTGAGTGAGACAGAATAATGCCCCTCTCGCAAAAGCTTCCCCACATCCAATCCCTGTGAATGTTAGGTTTGCATAGCAGGGGAGAATCCAGGTTTCACATCAGCTGAAGAATTACAGAGCTTATCCTGATAGACGCAATGTAATCACAAGGGCCTTTGAAAGTGGAAGAGAGAGGTAGGAGTCAAATCTCAGAGAGAGATTTGAAGATGCCACTTTGCTGGCCTTGAAGATGGAGGAAGTAGAGCATGAACCTGGCAATGCAGGCAGCTTCAAGAAGTTGGTAAAGGCAAGGAAATGGGAATCATGTAGAACCTCTGGAGAAGAACATTTTGCCAGTTGTGATTTTACACATGGAGACTTTATTGTGGCAGCAATAAAAAACTAATTCTTGTACTATATAAAATCTAGATGCATATGGAAATTTATTGGAATTAATTAATTGGTTCAATTCCTAGAATCCTCTATCATCTTATTTTTTAAAAATAAAAACTTGATCTAGTAAGATAGATTTTTTTGTTTTTTTACTAAAGAAAATATTTAACCTTAAATTCATCTTATTTTTTAAAAATAAAAACTTGATCTAGTAAGATAGATTTTTTGTTTTTTTTTACTAAAGAAAATATTTAACCTTAAATATCTTTTTTGCTTATGTTTTATACAATAAAACATTTGATTTTCTATTTGATTTAGGACTTTCAAAATCCATCCTTAATGTTAACTCCTAGTATAAGAGATTTCTGTATGTCTGATCAGTTTTATATAGCTGAGGATTAAATAGTGTATGTCAGAATTTCTCTAATTCACAATGTTTATAAGATCAATAGGATCTTGTAAGGATGTATTCTTGCTCAGCATGTGAGTTCTCATAGGAGACATGTTAGACTCATGAGTTCCAATCCATCATTGAAAGTTAGTTTATCTGTCATCTTATTGGCTAGAGCTATAACCAGGTTTGGAATATATATGTTTAACACAAGGATGCTCAATGTTTTTTAATGACCTTTAGAACTAAATCATCCTAAAATATCTTCTACATCCTCAGTAAATAATTGAATTTTCTTAAATATATATACTTTCAGTGTTAAATGATGTATTTTCTAATGTTCAAATATTTAAAAAATTTCCCATCTCTATAGAGCAAACTTTCCAGTTTTTATAAAACTTATTTAACCAGGATCTTTTATTGCTTGTTCTTTTGTGTAACATAATAGTTTATTTCCTCATAAAGAAGAAACATCACACTTAGGTGGTAGAGTTATAAAAGCCAGTATTTCTACATGAAGAATTGTTTTTGAAAACAAAATTTAATTTCTAAATAAACTAATAAGCAAATGAATGAAAATGAAAGGCTTTTAATATACATTTACTTTCTCTTTTTTTTGGCATGGCTGCACAAGTGAGTTGAAGAAAAATGTTAAAAAGAAATTAAGCATGATTGCCATGCAGTTGGAATTTCCTGGAAAAATTTTAGTATATTAATTTGGCCAACCAAAAAGTAATTTTCAAGTAGAAATATTAGATGTTTGCAATGTTTTGTTTTGTTTTTATTTGTTGGTTGCTTGCATTCCTGGTGATTGAACCCATGTCCTCACTATGCTAGGCAAGCACTCTACCACTGAGCAGACCCCAGCTCATTTTCAATGTTTAAATACACACTTTTGTAAATGTGCTGTAATGCTAGAGTATAGTAAAAATGTTGAAAGGAAAAAGAGGACAAATTACTTTTATTTTAACTTTACAGATTGGTTAAAATATACTTTGGTGGCTTCCCAATGCATTTTTTTTCTAGGTAATTTTTATTAGAATTTTAAGTATAATTAAGTATATTAAGTGTAATACAGAGAGTGATTCCATGACTCATTTTTAGAAAATGATAAAATATAATTCTGAACTGTAATAGTATATGTGGCATGAATCCCTTCATTAATAATATGAAGGGAATATTATTAATATCTGTTAGTTTTTCCATGATAATAAAAAGACCTGGGATAATAAATTTATAAGGAGGAAAAGTTTATTTTGGCTTACAGTTTTAGAGGTTCCAGTCCATGATTAGTTGACTCCATTGCTTTTGGGCTTGTGGCAAGAGCTCAAGTTGGGAGAAGCAGGTGGTGGAGCAAAAACTCTCATCTCATAGCCAGGAGGCAAAAGTAAAGAAGAGGAAGGGTCTGGGGTCCCCCAGTGCCCTTCAACACAAGGGCCCAGTGACCTGAAGACCTCTCAGTAGGCCCCACCTTTTAAGACGCAAAACCTCCCAACTGTGCCAATCCAGGAGTAAGCCTTTGACATGTGAGCCTTTGGGTGATATTTACATTCCAAACTATAGCAGTATCTTCAGTTGGAACATATCTTTAATTATACATGCTGCCTGCAAGGAAGACTTTCTGGATATGCTCTGGTTAGTTTTTTTTAATATAGTCCAGTGACAGCTTAGGTACTATGAGTTTAAGAAAACTTGAAATTGGCTCCTATTACCTTTATTTTATATATATATATATATACCATAAAAGCCAGATCTCTTCCATTGTGAATTTCCAGTTCATTTTTGTGTTTTGCACAGGTCATTCATGTCTTCAGCTGCAAGTTAATATCCAGGGACCTTTGAGGGGTAGAAATAATAATTGATAAAATTTTTGTTTGAACTTTCCTCATATGTCACATTAATAATCCTGTGAATATGATTCCTTCTTATTTTATTCTACAAATAATAACAAGAATATGAATAAGAAGAAGAAGAAGAAGAAGAAGAAGTGGAAATAATAATAATAATGATAATTATAGTAAATTCCATTTTGAACCTGATTTGTCAGACACTATGCTGAATCCTGGGCATTACGTGAATAATTTCTTTTAACACTTAAAGGAAAGAGTGTATAGTGAAGTATAGTTTTATCATTGCCTCTGTATAGTARCTGATAAATACATTAATAAGTAACTAATAAGTACACACAGAGTCTGCTTGAGATTGCATGTCCAGTAAGTGGACAAAGTAGCATTAAACCCAGGGACTGTTCTAGCTTTTGCCTGCTATGCAGGTCTGTCCCCTATATTCTGAAATTTTTAATTACATAGAAAATTTGGCTAGGGAAAGATTATGTTTAGGAATGAGAAGAACAGTGAAGAAAATATGAGCAAACATCTTTTCTTTCTTGCTGTACACTGGTTATCATTTATCACGTACCCACTGTGTATAGCTGTCTGAGGACAGAGCCTTTACTTTCTCTGATATCCCAGCCTTTTCCAGTGTCATTCTGTCTTTGTGAGGGCCTTTCCACAGACTAATCTCTATTATGTATATTTAAGAAAATTTCATACTGTGGTCCCGTTGTGGACTGGGGTGCTTTTCTAGAGATAAGAAAGTATTACTCTCTACAGTCCTGTCCGTAAGACCCCTATAGGAGTTCTGAAGTGGGGAGATGAATCATGAAGTATAGCTCTCTCCATTCCCTAGGCAAGGAGACTTCTGCCACTAAGTAGAATTCTGTTTGTAAGATGTCAACAAAGTCCTGGGTCTTGCCACCTAGCTGGTGATCTGCACATCCAGCCTGTTGGTGATTGAGCCTGTTGACTAGGGTGTAGAAAGGATGCTTCTCCTTTCCTCTCCACAGCATCTTCTCCAAACCCCAAATGCTTTACTTTTCAGTGAGTC